GTGCCTTCTTTTCCAACAAAGTTTCTTAAAGAGTTTAATCAAGAAAAGTTGTTTCTCTTTAAATAGCAATGAATTTGTGTGGTGGTTTAACCATTATAAGACCACCATTACACCATAAAGTCAGCACCAATTCATGGTTGCTCTATTTCAACCCTTTGTCTCAATAGATTTAGAGCTCAAGGGGTTTAGATTGAAAGCTAAATCCTAACCTTCCTTCTAGTTGTAATGATTATGAAAATTATGTTTTTGATATTGGTTTTAAGTCAATGTTCTTAATCTATTAAGATGATCTTGTTCACATATGAGAATATATAGTTATAGCTTGCATTTCACTAAATGAAAGGGTATGAGCTTAATAGTTAAGTTCTTAATAAGTGGGACAAAAGAGGACTTAATCTTGTTAGTTTATCCAAAATTCTAAGATTGTCACCCAACACAAATGTACAGTTTTTGCAACGAGTGGAGGTTAGGCCGAAATTCGATGGATATTGCTGGAATTTCAAGATTTTTTTTTACTAAAATCTAACAAAACGTTAAAAAAATATAGTAAATATGAAATATATACGATAATATGGCTTAAAATTAAACATTTGTTTAAAAACAGTGATATTAAACACTTCGAAGTGAACGTTTTAGATATACATAGAGAAACTTATTTGAAAGAAAACCTTTAAAATTTGAAGAAAAGTCTAAAACAGAGCATTCCGAAGATAATGGTCATTAATAAAAAAACTGAAAAAAAAAATAATATTTTTTCTTTAAAAAATTCATTTATAATGATTAGTTTATTTAATTTCCTTATATTATAAGGTTCAGCACCTCAGCCGATTAAAAAAACGTATATCTCCTTATACTAATAAAAGAATAGTTTACTTTCCTTTTGTCATGTGTTACTCTAATACACATCATAATTAATATTATGCCATGCGTCACTTTATTACTTCTTAATTTTAAATTTGCCTCCAATAAATCAACAAGAAATGTGGCTCAAGAAATCAGGATCCAATCTTATAAAATCAACATTTCGTTTTCAAAATGCTATAAATAAACAAATATCTAAAACCTATTAAAAGGTAGATATTTTTAATGATTAGATGTATAAGTTATATAAAAAAATATTTGTTTGTATAATTAATGATTGTCGCTCTGTCAAACAACTGTTTAGTACATAGGTTATCATTTAGTTATTATAAACTAAAGATGATAATTAAGACTACGGAGAATTGAATAGTTTGTAAAGGGGGTAAAGCCATATTGTTGGACGATCCACGGGGAACTAGCTTTGTGTCTATCATGTTGGATAAATCATAAATAAAGAAGCCGACCATATTGTAATTTTTCATGACATTTATGATGAAATTAATCACAATTCTCCAGTAGTGGTTTATTACTCATATCGACAACACAAACATTTATTTATTTTAATTAACTGAACAGTTGTATTTATTTCTTGATGTCGTCCTATCAAACCTTATCTAAAGTTAATGTAAAACATCTCATATGGACCAAAACAAATAGTAGATTTTCTAACCAAATTTCAAACGCAGATGGTTTAAGCCATATCCATTTGGTCCGAGGGTGTAAACGAGCCGAGCCGAACCCAAGCCTGACCAAGCTCGAGCTCGGCTTGTTTAATTTTGAGGAAGCTCAAGCTCGAGCTCGAGCTCGATTCGAGCCTTAAAATGAAGCTCGAGTTCGGCTCATGAACAATTTAGTGGGCTCGCGAGCCTAATCGAGCCTAAAGGAGTCTCTATGTGTGTGTGTGTATATATATATATATATATATATATATATATATATATATATATATATGTGTGTGTGTGTGTGTGTGTATATATATATATATATATATATATATATATATATATATATATATATATATATATATATATAGGCTCGTTTAAGCTCGTTTAGGCTCGCGACCCCATGAATTGAAGCTCGGCTCGAGCTCGTTTAATAAACGAGCCTCGTATTTAGGCTCGAGCTCGGCTCAGGCTCGCTTAATTCGATCTCGAGTCGAGCTTTTAACGAGTCGATTCCGAGTAGCTCACGAGTAGCTCGGCTCACTTACACCCTAGGTCCAATGACCGCAAAACCACTAGACGGAAAAAAAATTAAAATTAAAAAAATTAAATAATAATTAAGAAAAAAACGGTTTTTTGTTAACTGCATCAACTACATATAGCCCTCTGAACAAAAGTCCCAACTCTAACTCTCATTTTGGTCAACATTTTTAGTGCGAAATGGGTCTGCTCTCTTTATCCAACAATCCATTTATATTGTATGGGCCCATCTAATAATATAGCCCTAGCTACCTGATTTGGTAACACCGTTTTTGTTCAATTATATATTGGTTCTTTTTTATTAAATTCCAAACTTTATTCTTTTTTTTCTAAAAGTAGTTTATCGGTAATCATTCATTTTTGGATATTTTTTCTCGAGAAAGACGTCAATCATTTTCTATTAAACCCTCATAATGGTTTTCTATAACCCTCACATGGATGTTCGGAGATTGAAGTACGTAAAGACACCGGTTTAAGCCGATTTGATATTTTACATGGTTTGAAGTTAATGAGTTGTTTTTCTGTTTGGTTCTTAAAACAAATTACATAACATGATAAACAAACTTAAACGGCTACTCTACACCTGTACCTCCGATCATTCTGTAAATAAATTTTGATATGCATTTATCAATAAGAACCAAATGTTCGAATTATTATGCATTCTGTTCATAAGAATTTTGTATTAAGATTTTAATATGTATTTTTCTAACAAAAATCAGACATGCAAATCATTATGTATTTTCCCAAGAAGAATTGAACATGTGAATTATTAAGCATTTTTCCGAGGAGTAGTCTAGGGCAAACCGTTGTTTTTTATTATGCATTTTCCCAAGAAGAATTGAACATGTGAATTATTAAGCATTTTTCCGAGGAGTAGTCTAGGGCTAACTGTTGTTTTTTACCTGATTATAAACTCTGAACATTCTGTAAATATATGTTGATACTTATTTTTCTAATGAAAACTGGACACAACATCATCTCTGTTTTTTTTTTTTTTGAAAAATATCAAATATCTACTTTATATTTTAATGTCGAAATCTTTCAAACGATACCATAAATAGGAGCAACATAAAAAATGAATTATGAGCTAAAACAAAATAATGGGTTAAGATTTAAAAAAAAAAAGTTTAAGAGCTTTTAAAAAAAAAAAATAAAGTTGAGTCCTTCGATTATTATTATTATTATTATTATTATTATTATTATTATTATTATTATTTTGTGAAACCAAAAGATTACCAACATAATAAGCTAAAACGTTCCATTAGAAAAAGTAAAAATATAAAATATATATTGATAACCAAAAAGTAAAATTAAATTAAATTTTCATAAAAAAAACAATTCTTTATATTACTAACCCATTTTCCGATCATGTCATTATATCTTCTTTTTGTTCAATTATACCGATATAGTTATAAGTTTATTGTTTTATTTATTGCAAAACAAAAACATCATTATCCAACAATTTATGCTAAAAATCCGTTACTAAATAGTTTACTGATGGATTCCGATGGATTATTTTTCTGTTGGGTAAAGGCTCAATAGTTATCATTTGTTTCTAATTTCCTACAAATTTTATAATGGATTACCGACAAGATACTTCATCGGAAACGTACCGATGGAATAGGGTTTGATAAAGCTTGACTATATTTTTTTTGAACGACAAATACAAATATATATTAAACTACTCCTAAATTATTCCACCTACGTCTATAGTAGGACTTGAATCCTCGACCTCAACGAGTAATGACAACACCGGATAGGCTTGACCATTTTCACCCAATTTACAAACGGGTAAAGTTTGACCATGTTTGACTATATCCTAAAGGACCATTCGTGTAATTTACTCAATTTTTAAGTGTCGCAAATATATCTCAAATATATCATGTATTTCATATATATTTATTTTCAGTATTTGGTCACCGTATGACTATCTCTGATTAATTCTTGTCCTCCGGAAATTACTTGTAATTATTAGGGATGTCAAAAAGTTCTGTTGGACCCCGATCTCGTTGGGGCCCCGTCCCGTATGTGCGTATTTGCTGGAAAAAATCGGGGGCGGGGGCAAGGTTAACCCACGTTTCAATTTTGGGGGCGAGGGTGAGGGTTGGCAGTCCCATCCCGAAACCCCCATGGGGCCCCGTTAATAAATTATATATATTACATATATTAATTATATAAATATAATAAACAATAGAATGATTTTTACGTACTAAAATTCAACAAAAAAATGTTTTTAAGTTATTTGTAACGTATAGAATTATACTATAAATAACTATTTGTTACTAAAAAATAGTTTGTTTTAACCCAAACAATTTTAGCCCAAACAATAACTATTTTAGCTCAAATAAAGTAGCCCAAAATCAATCGGGGACGGAGGCAGGGGTGGAAATGATGGAAATTTCGGAGGTGGGGAAATGAGAAATTTTGGGGGTGGCAGCGGGGGATGTTATCCCGTCCCGTTTTCCACCGTTGACATCTCTAGTAATTATCATATAGGTTATATTTTTCGCTTTTCTAGTAGTGACATTTTAACCTTAGGATTGTATGCCATTAAAATAATTTAATATAAAACTAAGGCAATATCAAAGCTATATTAATTTAATAATCTATATTTCAAGTTTTGAAGGTTCAAAAAAATTATATATATTTCGTCTTTTAAATGTACAATTTAAAGTATAAACTAACCAAATAAAAATATATTACATCTGAAAGAAAGAAAAAAAAAAAAAAACCAAATTGCGTGGCTGAAACCAATTCACTCCATTTGCGACAAGAAATTAAGTTCATGCAAGCAACTGAGGATCATGAAGTCATCCACCCCACGCATTAACCTGTCTATAAATATCACTTTTAGTCGACAATATCCTTAAAACAAACACGTGTTTGACCTTTTTAGAAAAACAAAAAGAGTCTAGAAAGACCCAAATAGAGTAAAAAATGTCATCGGTGCCTGTGAAGGGGGCCACAAGAGGCGGCGAAGGTGGTAGAAACAGGTGGTGTCCAACTCCGGAGCAGGTGATGTTGTTAGAAAGAATGTACAGAGGCGGTCTGAAAACTCCATCGGCAACTCAGATACAGCAAATCACAGAAAGACTATCAATTTACGGCAAAATTCAAGGCAAAAATGTCTTCTACTGGTTTCAAAATCACAAAGCTCGTGACCGACAAAAGCTTCGAAAGAAACTCATGACGATGTACCAACAGCATCGCCTTTACCCTTCTCATGATCAACCCTCTCTTCCTTTTCATCAGGTAATTTTTTCACTCCTTTTATTATAAGAATTTTCCTAGACATGGTTATCTTTTAGCAAAAATAAATTGAAGGAAGGAATATCACTGCATAAAACAATGAAACGACTAAACAACTTTCTATTCCTTTTACATAGATAATGATACTATTATGTTTATAATATGGATATAGGTTGGTGGAGTTGAAGATGAATCAAGCTGTATAACGTTAGTCAACAATTGGACGAGGGATCTCCCATCTTCTCAAACCTGCAACCTCATGTGCGATTGCCCACTGGCCATGATGATGATGGATCGGTATGGTACCACTCCATGTTGCACAAGAGTACCACCCAAAACCCTACAACTCTTCCCGGTCACCACCACCACGACTCCTGATGTCAAAGAAGATAATCAGTTCAGCAATCCCTAGTCCAATTTTGACTTTGTTATCTTTGTTTTAAGTATTAATTAAAGACTATAGTAGACTGAAAGACTAAAAATAGTTAGGGTATCGATGCTAGGGTTAGGTTTAATTAGGGCTAGGGTTTAAGAATAAGTTGTGGGTTTCTATTATGTCGCCAGTCCGTTGCATGGCAGGGCATGCATAGTGGTAATATCAATAAAGAACTATGAAATATCTAAATTTAAAATGCCTAATAAGCTAACATTCAGTATGTTGTTCTTGATGAAAATTGAAGTGTCTTTTTCACAATCTTGGAGTATGCATGCACTGAGATTGGCAAACCTTCTATCTTTTGCTTTTGGTAGGTTTCGTATGTTGTCTGTGTGTGTTTATTGTCGGACACACTAAACAAAACACTCAGCAGACATACAGTACCATATTAAGGTTAGCCGGTGGCAAAGTTTAGATGATCATTATAGTACTGTATGATTTACATAGACATTGATGTTTGAAAAACAAATTGATTTGCAAAGACAAGTCTTCAAAAGCCTGCGCAATAATTCAACTGCCGACAAATTTACCGACGGAATAAGCCCATCAGTAATTATAAATGGAATATCAATAGACCAGTGACAAAAACAAAATCCGGAATTATAAAAAAAAAAAATTTATTTAGTAATCTATAAAACAATACTACAAGTATTGTACTCGATACAAAATAAAATATAAAAAACAAAAAATACTACAAATTTTCAAAGCGATTTTATGTCTTCGTATTAAGATTTCCATATTTTTTTCAATTTATTATTTTTCATCTCTTTAATATTTTCCAAAAATTCTTTTAAATCTACAAGAAAGTTAAAAAAAAATTGACTAATACAAGAACACTCACAAAAATACATATGTATATATCATGTAAGATTCACATGTGATTATATCATGTAAGATTCATATGTGATTGTATCTTTTAAGATTCAAATGTGAAACTCAGAAGAAATTTTTTTAAAAAAAATAACGAAGAACACTCACAGAAAATGCATGTGTGCATATAGACGTAATTCATATATGATTCACTTGTGATTTATATGTGAAGCACATATAATTAATATGTGATTAATTTATGATTTACATGGTGAATCACATGTGAATTACATGTGAATCACATGTAATTCATATGTGGATTACATGTTATTTACATGTAATTCATATGTGATTCACTTGTGATCTACATGTGAATCACATGCGATTCATATGTGAATTACATGTGAATCACATGTGATTTACATGTGAATCGCATATAATTCATATGTGATTCACTTGTGATTTACATGTTCAAATGCTTAAAAGTTGTTATAGGAATTGGCAGTTCTACTGTTAGGGAAGAAAATAGATTTTAACATCTAGGATCTATTGAGTGAGTAGAAGTTGAATTTTAATCTAATATTTTTGAAATTTTGAGGCATGTGAAGTGTAGTGATGTTTTTGGTTGGTTTTGGTATTTAGGCTAGAAGAACAAGCAATGGTATCATCCTAAGGTACAAGGATTTTGGTCATGATTGTAACATCTAATTTTTCAGGTATTCACTTTTGACCCTTAAGTTAAGATTTGTTTGCAAGATTGGTCCCCGATGTCATTTTTCTAATTGTGGGTGCAGCATGAGTACGCTGGACATACACCTTGGTACGTTGGGCGTTCCTGGCCCCGTGCTTGTACGCTAAGCGTACACTGGTATGTAGGTCGTACGTTGTTTGGACCAAATCCTAATATTAGGGGTTTGTGTACTATATAAGCACCATTATAGTCCCAAAATCCTTCCTCTTATCAGCCTCCATCCCAAAATCGACCATCCTTGCAAACCCTAACCTATTTTGAGCTTTTCGAGTGAATTGTAGGCTTTCTTGGTTGTGAAGGAAGATCATCAAGGAAATGGCTTTGATCTCAAGACTTTGGATCCAACATTTTTTCTTCACTGTGCATCTTTTGGAGGTAAAAATCTTCAACCTTGATGTATATTTCTTATGGATCTAGTTTTAGCTCAAAGTTGTCACCTTTTTGTCCCAAACTTGTTCTTTGTGGGTATAAGATACTCCAAGGCATTTGAGTTGTCCTTTTAGAGGGTTTAGGGTGTTTTAAGTCATAAAAATGTGTTCGTGGTCATTAGTTTCTTTCCATGCGTGAGCTAGATTGTCTTGATGGGTAAAGAAGCTAGGGTTTTTGGAGCTAAGGTCTTAATAGCCATGCTAAACAATAAAGTTGGAAACTTTATGGTTAAGGACATCTTTTTGAGCCTAGATCTGGATTTTAAATGTAAGTGCTTAATGATTAAGCACTTAATGGTTAAAGTGGTGAGCAGTCGCGTACGCTGGGCATACCAAGGGGTACGCTGTGCGTACGTGGTCAGTTCCCCGACTTTGGTCAATTGTGTAGTACGCCCTGCGTACTCACTGAGTCAACTCGATTGACTCAGTTGACTTTGACATGGTTTTGACTACCGAGTACTCACTAAGTCAACTCGGTTCACTCAGTTGACTTTAACATGGTTTTGACTAAGGTTTAAGCTAGGGGTATTTTAGGTATTTTGATCTTTATGATGACTTTATGTCATTGAATTTATTAAGGTGACTGATAGAGTTGATCTCGGAGCAGCGTGCTATTCAGTTTACTCATCTGTTTGTGAGGTGAGTTTTCTCATTATATCCATGGGTCGAAGGCACCAAAACTACTAGAAAGCAGGCCTTTAATGACACACAATTTATGATACGCATTGATTTATGATACGCAAAAGTATGTGACCTAAACATAATGCCAGCTCTCTAGAAATTTTAAGGATTTAGGACGCGCATTTTTGCATGCCCTAAAATTAGTGTTAGAAAAAAAACACGAAGGGCGCTTATTATAAAATATGTTTCATCTAGACATGTTGTTTTATAATTTTTAATGAAACGCGGGTTGTTTAGTAGCAAGCGGGAAAAGAAAAGACCAAAAATTAGAAAAGCCCGCTTTGGCTTCCCTCTTTGCCTTAAGCATTTTTTTGACGCATCGTTCTTTATCCCCACAATCGACGATACTTCTTTCCCCTCCCCACATCGACCGCCAACTACTCCCCTTGCACTCTGACCACCGCTATGTGCTCTTTCATGGCCGTCGACCCTCCGCCATCCCCGACCCTCCGCCTACGTCGTACCTTCTTCAGCGCCTTCCTCTGCCATCGACCTTCCTCATCCAAAGCCGATTGTATTCATGCGGTTAAATTTGTTCCTATTCCTCATTGACATTCATATCTTCATTACTACCCTAATTTTGGCTTCTAATGACTCTTTAAATCCATATGCAGGATTCTACGGGAAAAATCACCGTAGGTTCTCAGGTATGGGTGGAAAACCCATCGATGGTTGAATCATCATAGATACACGGTAGCTCTCAGGTTTGGAATAAAAGGGACCAAGTTTTGTACCTATGAGAAGAATCAAGCTCTCAGGTTTGGAATAAAAAGGAATATAGCTTTTGATTAATTACTGTTATTTCAACAGGCTATGACTTCTCCAAGCGATGGGAAACATTATAAAGGATGTGGTCCATGAATATTATTCAAGAGTACTGTATACGACGTTCATCATCGGAACGTGGCACATGGATATTATTCAAGGGAAACAGTATAAAAGATGTGGATATTTGTTCGGTTGATGATGTTGTTTATGCGACTTTTCTTGGTTCTGGAGAGAGTTATTGTAAAATAAAGCTTAAATTTACGGATCCTTCATCTGGGGTGTTTGGTAAGACCTTTAAGTTGACTCTCCCGGAGTTGGTTGACTTCCCTGATTTCTTGGTGGAGAGAAGCCGTTATGATGCTTCCATAGAAAGGAAATGGACTACAGGGGATAAATGCTTTGTATGGTGGAGAAATGTAGAGGGAGGTGGAAGTTAGTGGGACGGTGAAGTTGTTTCAGAGGGAGATAAGAGTGTTGAATTTCCGGGGAGTCCATGGGAAATATTTGTTGTTAAGTATGCAGATGAAGCTGATGATGTTGAGCCTAATCACCAAAGTTCATGGGAGCTTCATCCTCATAAAGATACCACTACCAGCCAATGGGAACAACCACCCTCGTCCTTCATCCTGACATCAGGAGGGGTAATCAAGTACCTACGTGCTAAATCTTGTTTCTTTTTATTGCATAAAGCCAGTATCTGATACATGGCATTTCATTGCTGGACCAATTTGGGATTATCAAGTTAAAACAGATTTCACAGAGAATAGACTTCATAAATAGGTAAAAGGTTATGCTCCTCAAATCCAAACATACATTTTCATGTAAGATACATTTTATTGATATATTTTCATTTTAGGTTTCCGGTTCCATTGACTCTGGAGATGGTTGAGCTCAGGATAAAAAAATTATTACTATAGAAGCTTTGAAGCCATGAAGCATGACATCACAGTGATGCTGTCAAATGTGCGTGCCTATTTTTCAAACAATGCAGAAATGTCTACAAAGATGGCACACCTGTCATACTGCTTTGAAACTAAGATTTACCAAGTTCTTATTAATTTTTCTTTATTCCCAGTTTTTGAGGCCCTCAAGGGAAGACCATTTGAGCAAGTAAAAACAGTCCTTCCCATTGTCCTGAGGTTCTAGAAGCCATCTTATCAGATCCAGAAAAGGATGAAGATACGGGCCCCATGGATTTAATCAATAAAGCAATGTTATTCGCTCATTCTCTTAACACAATCTACATAAAACTAGTTAGTGGCACACTTGTAAATATGTCTAAGTTGTCTTAACTCTTAAGTTTCTTCATTTCCCATCAAATCCCTATTATTTTATGCAACAAGATCACAAAGATGAGAAGCTTTTTGGTTTATTTAGCTTGTATGTCTTGCAAATTACGGTAATAATCCTCATGCCTATAATGAGATTATTAGTTTCTTTTTTCTCATCTTACCTTTTTTATAAAATGTAGGCTCTTATTTCAAATAGTGTAGGATCCGAAACTTCCCAATATACATGCCCTCGATGTAATACTCGTTATTTTTCCCTTCCATGTTACAAGGTAATATTATCTTTGTTCTTTACATCTTACACACATTGGTATCCACTTTGAGAATTATGTTTCATTAAGTTAATATTTGTTTGGTTATGGTATTGGACTCCCCTACTATATATGATTTTCTGAATTTATTAAGTACTAAACTTGTGTTTGTAAAGTTTTGTTTTTAATAATTTTTTTTTCAGTCACACAGTATCTGATGCACCGAATCATTTATGAGAAACAATGTGATGGAGGAGCTGAAGCAAATGGAACCTGGTGATGACACAAAACAAAAAATGTTGGACATATTGAGACGTTTTCATTCAGAGGAAGAAGCCGATAACATGGAAGATGATGGTAATATGTTAAATTTGTATTTAAATTATTTAAAACTTAAATTTATTTTTTTTATTTATTTTGAAGGGTGGACGGATGCATCTTTATCAGAGGAGACAATCGAAAACACCAATTAAGGGGCAGTGGGCATGGCATTGCAGCTGCAAGAATGGATGCAAAGTTAAACGGTGCATGGTGGATTAGTGAACAAATGGGTGGTGTCAGGCTGGATTACATGTATCATTTTAAATAAAATAAGTGGAAAAAAAAAGAAAAAGAAAATGAGTAATATTTATATTCTTTATAGTTGCAGTTACTTGGAATATTTGAAAGATCTTGAAGAGAAGGTTAGTTAGAAGGCGTCAGCATAAGAAACAAACATAATTTATTCATGGAATCTAACATTGGTTTTTCTTTGCTATCTGTATTTGTCATTCGTAACTTTTTTACTTTTCAATTAATAACAGTAATCAGTTTGTCAAAAAATATAATCAGATAATGATGTTGATGATGATACATGAATCAATTTGTCAACATAGTTTATTTATGGAATCTAAACATAGTTTACTTATGGATGATATATATATATATATATATATATATATATATTATATATATATATATATATATATATATATATATATAATAAACAAAACAAATAAATGAAATTAAATTGTATTTATTTATTTCAATATTTGTAGGTACTCTCTGTTTTTGTCAAGGTTCTTCCTTTAAAATAAGATCATGAAGAATCCATGCCTGTAAGCAGTTTTGGTGATTTCGAACAGAGTGCTGGTGATAATTGGGAAACATCATCTGGTAAGTAATAACATACTATGAATTTCCATTTCAAGGCTAATTAGGGAACTTGTAATGATTAATAGCAATCATTAGATTTTGAAGATGTTATTATGGATGATCATATTATTGATTTTCTGGATGTGTACTCTTTTGGGGTAGTATTGTTTCGAGTCCTTTGTGGGAGGTTGTGCATTGGGAGACCTAATGATACGCATCGTTTATTGAAAAAAACTCGCATAACATAGCTATGAACAAGGAACACTAGAATATTTTATCTTCAATGATAAGCATCGTTTATTGACAAAAATCGCACAATAGGGAACAATCCTTAGTCTACACAATAAAAGAGAACTCAAATTGCTTCTATCTTCAGGCATTCGTGTTGATTGGGGTAGAAGGGTAATTTACTGTTTTGTTTCTCTTAAAGTTTTGATAACCATAATTGATAAATGTGTAATTTACCAACTGAATTAGCAACAAATAATAATAAATTCGTTTGGTACTAATTTTACATATTTGAATGTCTACTGGTTTTCCTTGAGTAAGAACGAACAGAACTGTGAGATGATTTCCGCATCAAAGTTCTCGTTCCAAGATCCTGGAACTGTGGAATGGATTCCTTACTCTACATCGAGGTTCTCTCATGACTCATGATCATCTCTGTATACACACATACATAGATCAATATATATGATGCATAATTCCTCTCTCCCACACAGATTTTCTGAGGTAGCTAAGATTGAAGGAACACATAATTTGCAGATAGAGGTTGATATAGAAACGATTTTATCGTCACTAGGAATCACATACGTAACATAATTGGTGTTTAAATTTTTTCATAGATTTAGTGACGTTTCACATTTAGACAAATCATCAGAGATCACGTCTTCTCAACCGACATTTGTTGGTTTACAGTACAAATTTAAAGATGCGGATGAATCATCATTATCCCAATTTGCAGACTGGACCGAAAATGGGTGGATGATGATTGATCTGTGCCAGTTTGTTAGTTATAGAAAATTCGCAAAGCTTGAGCTTTTGGTTGAAGGAATTTCTAGTTATAATATCATGTTACTAGAAGGCATCCAGTTCTTGCCAGTTGAGATGTAGGTAGTTATTTAAGCATCATCATCGCAAACATTGTATATGTATGCTTCTTGATTGTTGAAATTGTTCTTACAGTTGTTTTCTCTTGATAAAGATGGAATCAAATGTTGTATGGCATCAGCAAGAGGAGTTTTAGAAGAGTGCGATGAGGAATCCAGATGGTTCTCAAAGTTGGCGTGTCTTCGTTGGATATCTCTACATGAATCAAGGTAGGTACATAATTTATTTTGGTTATATATTAAACGTGAAAATGAAAACATTAATTATGGAGTATGTATTTGCAGATTCGAAAAGGTGATTGAATGTGAATCAAGCAGGGTTTTATGTATAAACTGCCATATCAACTTCTATATGGTATCATTAAACACACCCTATGTGACTTACCTGGTGTACAAATTTCCAGACGTTAGCCAGGGGACTAAACTTGCCCACAACCTTGAGAGAGCCTTTCATGTGAACTTTCTAGGTTTATCATAGGAATGTCCGCATGACAATTATGCCCTTCCTACCATAAAAACCATTTATCAATTGATTTTTATATCATGCAATTTATCTTCTAACTGTGAGTTACCTTTAATAGGTCCATCTTCTGAGCTTCTTGCTTATGGTAATTCACATGTTTCATTAGTTTCACTTTTTGCAATTTTTGTCTTACCTAAAAATTTCAATTTTGGGATTTGTAAATTTTGTTTTTCGAAATGATATATTCAAGTTCACAAAAGATGATAAATGATGATGGGTTTCAACGAGCACTTTATATGATTGACATTGGCCAAAATGACATTGCTGATGCATTTGCCAAGAAGTATTCATATGCCCAAGTTGTAAAAAGAATACCATTAGTTCTTGCAGAAATTAAGAATGCCATCAAGTTGAGATTACATTGTAAAAAAAAAGAGACTAAAATAGCCCAAACAGTTAAACTTTTGACTCATTTCCATTTTATATTTTTTTTTCCAGAGTATACATGATAATGGTGGCAGTAAATTTTGGGTTCCCGGCATTGATTGGTTTCTTGTTATGCTCAAATCTTAACAGCTATCATGGCAACCTTCGACAATAGTTTTGGATCGACGCCTTCTAGCAGAAGATATCGTGTACGTGTTCTTGTGCTGCTATTGTGGATTTGGGAACATCATTGCTTACTGGTCCAACTGTATGTATCTCATGTGAAACTTCTGTTAGAACTATTAATCTTAGTGATTTCAAGTTTTTCATATTTCTTGTATCTAATTAGTTTGTAAATTTTTATTACAACTTCTATTGATTTGTTTTATCTTTCCATGGAACGATTATTTGTATGATATTAAATTTTATGCAATGTATTGTATTTGATATTTTATTTCCTATTATGAGACATTAAATGCAAATTTAATTTGAAAATTAGTAAATCTATAAATAATATTTTTTTTAAACATTTAAAATTACGATACGCAAAAATGTGTGTCATCTTCATTTATGACATAGCCTTTATTGACAGGGGCTTTAATGATACGCAATGCGAGTCTTAAATGCGCGTCGTAAGGTTACGACACACAAATGTGTGTCGCCTTCATTTATGACAGGGTCTTCCTTGATACGCATTGAGAGTCGTAAATATGTGTAGTAAATAGACGGCGCGCAAAAGCGTGTCGTCTTTCGTTATGACAGGGCCTTCCTTGACACACATTTGCGTGCCGTCTAAGCGTTTTACGACACGCATTGCGTGTCGTAAAAGGCTGTTTTTCTTGTAGTGCAATGTTGTTCCATTATTGTGTTACTCATAACGATAGTTACTACGTGGGTTATATGTGATTGTATGTGATAGGTTTTAGGTAAAACAAACAAACTTAAAACCCTTAAGTTCACATGCAACCTAAGGATCTATGTTTTCATTATTGAACCTGTAACTAAGAACATCAAATAAGAAACCCTAGAAACCCTACATATATTTCGAAAACCATAATAGGGTTTAGGTTTACATACCTTGTTGTTATTGTAGGAACTAACAAGAATCATTCACTTGTAGATATCTTAGAAGCAAGCACCACAATTTACGTGCCTCTAATAGCTCACATCCAAACTAGCAAGAAGGAAGACTATAGAGAGAAGAGAATGGAGGGTAG